GCGGGAAATTAGCACTCAGATATATGATGTTAAGTGTGGTTGGTATTGCTTTTGTTTTATACATATGTATGTATATTGAGTATTTATTAAACTTGACAGTTGTTGTTGATGGCCTTTGAATATATATGTAAATCTTTATATACGTTTATACTCGTATGTATATATAAAAATCTGGTGACACTTGTTATTGGAGAACAGGTTTTTCAGCTTTTTCACCTTTAAAGATTTCCTCTATAGGGGCGCTTTCAAAAGCACTATACTTTTATCGAATTGGAGTTGTAAAATATTTGCAGACCTGAAGCTTTATAGCTTATGAAATCATATCCTGCTAAGCTTTCAAATAAAAATATGATTTAAGGAGTTTTAACAGAGTGCAGAGAGTTTTTAGGTGTAAATGAAATAATTTAACGACAAAAGAAATCATATTTCTTAGTTGATCTATTCTATTATAAAGAAAGCTTTGGAGCACTTAGTTTTCTACACCCTAGATTACAGTGCAGGACCCCAGTTTTTCATTAGCAGCCTACTACAAACTAGTTTTGTCCTCAAAGGTGATTTCAATGAAAACACCATTTGCACTACACCAATTGAACCTCAAAAGTAAATCAGATATATTTCCGAACGTTTATTCTGGTTTAACTGATTTATTCCAATCTGTGCAGATATATTCCATTTTGACTCATTCTATTCCTTAAGTTTTACTATGGAAAATTGTGATTATAACCACGTAAATTCATTGATTCCATCTTCTAGTGTCTTAATCATTTCTTTTGGATACCTTACTAGTTTTTCGACGTGAGATCACTTCTCAAGTCGTAAATTAGTTCTATAAGCATACTTATATACATTTAATAAATAAGAAGTAAGATACTATCTACACATAGAAATCAAATGCTTTTACAGTTATGTAGCTTTTTCTATTTGTACCGTATTTATTAAAAGTAAACATGAAGACTTCAGACTACAGCCACTTAAGAGGTTCGACACTGCGTATACGCAATGCCCAAATAAATTAGTATCTACATATACATATATGTACATATGTACAGAGATGCATACATATATTTAATATACAAATACAAATGTCATAAAACCAAAAAAATATACAATTATTGAACAATTAATGAGTGAGATTTTAGAGTGAATAAAGAGATTTGAGTGAAAGTGCAAAAATAAACCCAACGCTGCAAAAGAGAGTGAGAGAGAAAACACTAAGAGAATATTTATTTCATGTATAAAAACATGAATACATATGAATTTTTGTGTATAATGTACTTGCACATATTTGCTTGAGAATGTGTATATGTATTTAGATGAGTTACATATAAATGTGTATTTGTAAGTTTAAAGCAGCCACTTGTGGCAGCAGCCAAACAATGCGGGATTAAAATTAATATTCCCTACGTTGAACACAAACTGTGGTTTAAGGGCAAATACAATTTATTATTTCATTTCCGAAGTCTTTTAAAGATGCATAATGTTATTTATAGTTCTAGATATTGAATATTGGTTCAGGGAGTTTTATTTGAAGTCGAATGGACTTCGTACATGCAATTTTCTCTTTTCTTAATAAATGTCTTTCTGAAAAGTGTTTCTCAAAATTTTTATTTTTACTAATTTTTACTTAAACATTTCTAAGTATATAATGAAACCGTAGGACTTCTTCTATGTATAGAACTCATCCATAAAAGTATTGTAGTATCCATAAAGAAGTACCTAAAATAAGTACTTATTTAAAGGTCCACTTACAAGTCTGAAAAAGCATTCTATTTTTGTTTTTGAAGAAACATTAATAAAAATATGTTTCAAACAAAATTTAATGTACTTTAGTAATCGGCGTTTCATTTTGAAAAATTTTCGATACCCTTGTTCCCGCAGCCGATCTCCAGGAGGACGCCCGAAAAAAGATGTCTGGCGGTGAGAAAAATTTTTCTGCTTAAAATCATCTCAAATTTAAAAACTAAACAAATCAATTATTATAATGAATACAGGTAAAGATCGAAGGACTAGTTAAAATTTTTATTTTTGACGAAGTGGCAGCTTTTCAAAAAAAGTGAGTAGTTTTTTGTGAAAAAATTTACACTTCAGAGTTATTTAAAAAATTTAAATTATTATCAGAAATTGTATTCCTTCGATGGTTATCTGACAAACAGAACTAAGAAGATCGTGTGATGATTTCAAGTTGATCGGGGCAGTTTTGGAGAAATTTTCCTCACCGACTTAGCGCTTTGGAATAAACGCGTTAAAATTTTTAATTTACATGCAGATTTAAGTGAAATTCGCAAACAGTTTTTTATGCAATTATCTCGTTTGTTTTCGCTGTTAAAGCCATAATGTCCTTCAAGTTCATTCATCTTTATATTTATCTGTGTGTGTATGCAGGAAAGGGAAGGTCGCTATTAAATTTACTTATTGTCTTTGCTTTCCTTTTTTCGAGTGCCTTTTGAAGCAAAATTTAATTGAGCAATTGTTTTAGTTGCGCTCTCGCAAACAGGACACTCTCCCAGTAAAGAGGTTGTAAGAGCGTAAAAGCGCGCGCGCATTCTAAGTGCTCATTTACAAACCACTCAATTCGGCTTTGAGCGCTTCGGCGCCACCCCAAAACCCAACTCTGGTACTCGAACTGCAGTTGTTTACATTTTACCCTGCTAACCTTTGACGACCACACACTCACACATCTTTCACCACGCGCCTGAGACCCACTAACCCACTGTGTTGAGCTGTTGTTACACTTGGTCTTTATCACTGCCGATGCCAACGTTGGCTGCGCCGCATTGCCTGGCACTTCGGACAAGAGGCTCGCGCGTTAGCGCGTGTCAAACGACCAAACGACACATAATCGGCAGGCAGATACACAGCAATCACTTGCCTTTGGTGAAATGAAGTATGGAAGGCGCTCAGTGGCTGGCTTTTGAGTTGCAACTTGAGTGAGTTGTTTGTGATTTTGCTTATTTTTGCTGTTGTTTTTTATTACTACGGAGCAACATTTTTTAGTAGTTTCTTGTATATGTGTGTGTGGTCTTCACAAGAGTTGTGTGGGTGGCAACGAGACAGTAGACGAGGCAGCGCTGCTGCCATTGCATGATTTCGGTCCATGTACGGCTGGAAAGCGATGCTGAGCGCATTAAGTCGTTTGGGTACAACGAGTAAGGACGCATTTTGTGTAATGCAGCGGTTGACTACGTCGGTTTTTTGCTGTAGCACAGTAGCTTGTTTCTTGTTGTAGTTGTCGCTTGTACATACATACATACATACATGTATTAGTTGTTTAGAAGAAATTAAGAAAGCACACACACACACACCCATGTAAGCAAGCTGTGTGCGCCTTAAGAAAGCTAGTAAGCAAGGTAGTTGTCGAAGTAGAAGCAGAAGTTGGCTAAAGTTCGAAATCTGCGTTGCATGCCTTGCACAGTCAGCGAGCAGAACGCAACAGCGAAAGTTGTTCAATTGAAAAAGTGCGAAATTTGTCAAAGCGTTTAAGTCGCGTACGCGTTCACAGTCAGGCAGCGTAGTGATTTTTGAAATTTTTTTACTAAATTACCGTTATAGTGAGCATGAAAAATAATTGGAAAAAATTGTGTATTTAGCAGAAAGTAAACGTAACGCGTGAAATTAAAGATATTTTTTGCTTTAAAGTGCATTTAACAGCGATTTGTCGAATTTTCGTTGCATACCTCAAGGGGGTATGCTTTCTCACACATAAACAAGACTTTTAGTGCTGCAAGTTAAAACAAAATAGCAAACCAAGATTTAATACAGAAGCAATCAACGTAAATTCAACAAAAATAATTGCTGTTGTAAATTGTTCGCAAGCAAATGCGTTAATACAGTGCAATTATTAGAAAGTGAAAATTCAACACAAAATATATAAAAAATAAAAGCAAAAAGTTTTCTACGAGCATGTAGAGTGAAAACGACGACAACCTGCTGTGAAAATAAAACACGATTCCCATAATATTCCTGCGTTTCCCACAATATTTCTGCTGATTTCGACAATTTCGCTGAGTTGCTGTAGCAAACCGTCTGCTGGTTCATACACACACACACATACATACACATCGATGAAAAATTCCAAGTGTTGCTTGGCAGCTAGATAACAGCCACTCAAGTATCTAGTCAAGTGTCGAAACTCTGTGTAAAAGCAGTGCAAGGCAGCAGCAAAGTGTAGAGCTGAAGTGTCCAACATCTTGTAAGGCAAAACGCGTGGCAGCAAGTGGCAGCAAGACGTTGGTTAGGCAGTTAGTTACGCAGTGTGTATTTGCGTGGCCTCGAATGTCTCAATCGGGCGAAAATTAAACGCTGAAAATTAAGAAAAGTCAAATTAGTGAGAAATTTAGTGCGAATTTCGTGCAAGCAAAAGTAGCGCGTGGGAAAAAAGTGAAAGTGGGAGCTGGAAAAAATATCTGGTATAAAACATAAATAGAGATAAAACTAAAAAAAAAAATTTAGCAACAAAAGTGCTTAAAAGTGTTATTTTTGACCAGTTTATTTAAAGAAAAATATTCAAAGGGAATTTAAAAAATTTAAATTTGAAAAATTAAAAAAAATATTAGAAAACAAGTTTGATAAAATTAGAAAAAGGTCGGAAAATTATTAAAAAAATTTGAACATTTCGAAAAAAGTTTTGGAAAAATTTTGAAAGCTAAATTTTAAAAACTTTCGGAAAAACTTCGAAAAACGTTTTAAAAAAATTTTTTGAAACTAAATCCAAAAAGTTTTGAAAACTAAATTTTAAAAAAGTTTCGGATCAGTTTTGAATAAAATTTGAGGAAACAGAAATTAAATTGTAAAATTTCTTTAAAAAGGAAAAACAAGCAAACAAGGAACAAAAATTAAAAAACATGGAAAAAATTTGTTTAGCCAAAACTAAAAATCTTGCAAAATTAATTAATTAAAATTTCGATTAAAAAAGAGAAATTGTGAATCGAAAATTTAAAGCCTTGGAAATATAATGCAAGTTTTGAAATAAAAATTATAAATCCTAAAAAAAATTTTAAATTTCCTTATAAAAATTATAATGTTTTTAACTTGTCGTCAGCAACATAAATCCATCGTAGCAGTCGTTTAAATTTTTTCGCAGCAATTGCAACGCTTTCACGCTGACAAAAGGAAAAGGTGTGCAAAGCAAGTAATTTCTTATAATTTTCATTTACATAAAAATTTGTGTGCATGTGTTTTTTGTCATAAATACATCCTTAGAAAAATACACACACACTTTTAAGCGAGCGAACAACTTTCAAAACTCCTGCAGCCAGCGAATTTCACTGCGTAAATAACACATTTGTCTTTTGTTTACTTTTACTTCCATTCCCATTTTTGTTTTTGGCTTGTGGTTATTTGAGTGTAAATATGCGTAGGCGTTGCGTTTTTGATTAATTACTCTCTGTGTTAGCTAAAAATAAATTGATTTGATTTATTGTTTTTTATAACTGGTAATGTGAGCAGCATTTTTGATTAAGTGCGAGATTTGTGACAGTGAAAATTTGCGTCTGCATAGTTGAAATATGAGTTGTGTTATACCTATGTGAAAAAATATTTCGAATTAAATAAAAAAAGTGCGTGTAATGAGAAAAAAATTTTGTATGTTTTCAAATAATTGTAAGAATCATAAAAATAATTTTTTTTTAAAAATTTTAATTAGATTAATTTTAATAATTGTGCATAGTAATTCCTACAAATTAATAGCTTATTAATAATTAGGTTTAACATTTAAAATAATTAATAATTAATTCATTATTTAATTTTTAAATTAAAATTAGTAAAATTAATAATAATAATTAAAATAAATAATAATTTTTTTTAAATTAATTTCAGTACCTGTAGTTTTGCGGAAGCGTAAATATTTTACAAATTAAAAATTTAAACTTTTGAATTACATACAAATGTTAATTTTACAATTTTCTTTACATGAAATGACGCTTTCAAGTAAAATTTTTTTTTATTTTATTTTATAAGCTTCAAAATAACAATGTGTTGGAATAAAATAGAAAAAAATTTTTGAAATAATAAGTTTTGAAAAAATAATAAAAAAAAGAAAGAAAAGAAATTTCTAAAAGTTCATAAAAATAGTTAGGAAAAGAAAATGAGGAAATAGAGATTTTGAATCAAAAATTAAAAATCTTGAAAAAATATTTTAACAAAAAGTTGCGAATTTAGAAATATTTTAACGAAAAGTTAAAACAAGCTGTGAGTATAGGTATAGCATATATGTATGAGATTTTTATGGAAAAATTAACAAAGGCACAACTTATTTGTGAAAAAAAGTGATAGGTAATAAAATTTTTGAATAATTAAAAAAAGCTTAAAAAAGTTACAAAAAAAATAAATATTCATATATATGTAGATTTGTTTATACACAAGTTTTATTTTTTTGTTCGTATACAATTTTTAAAACATATTATTTCTTTAAGTTCTTTAAAATAGTGCATTTAAATTTATAATTAATTTAAAGAAAACTAAATTACTAAAAGAAAAATTCTATTTTTTTTAATAAATAATAAAATTAATTTAAATGACAGTTTTCAAATAAAGTTTATAAAGTAAAGAATATTTTTATATTTTAATCACTGTTAAAGAAACTTAAATTACTTGTTCTTTTATTAATTTAAATAATTAATAAAAATAAATAAAAAATTCATAATTAGTAATAATAATATATATGAAAAAATAATAATGATTTAAAATTTGACTAACTTGGATAATTTAAATTTAGTGTGAAAAAAATATCAGAAAAAATTTTTTTTATTAAAAACTGCCAAATTTGAATATATTTTACTCTTAATAATTAATAATTTTTTGTTTAATTCAATTTTATACAAAAAATTTTTAACCATACCTGATTATAAAATAAGAAATAAATATAAATTTGTGATTGATTTTTGACTTGAGTAAAATAAAAAATTACCTGTTGATGATCTGTTTGCGAAGTCTGCTACTTAAATTTGTGTGCACAAAATACATTTAAATTTAATAATAAAACAAGAAAAAACGTTAACTTCGGCTGCACCGAAGCTTAATAACTTTTAGAGCTGTATTTCTTAAAGAATAGAAGGGTATAAAAAGATTTTTAACTGGATTTTGTTCAGTCAGTTTGTAAGGCAGATATTGACTATAATAGTCCGATATCGGAGGTTTCGACAAATGAACAGATTCTTTTAGAGAAAAAGACGTGCGCAAAATTTTTGAATGATATCTCAAAAAATAAGGGGTTAGTTCCTGTATATACAGATAGATGGACTAACAATTTTCTATAAACATTTCTTTCAAAGCATGTTGAACATAGTTTTTTGGATTAACATTTTCTTTATATTTCAGGCTAAATAATTTGAAATAAAATTTGTTTTTTAGAAAAAATTATATTTCCATATTTTAATTTAAAAAATTTTAATTTTCAAAATTCTATTTCTAAAGTAAATTAATATTTTATTTTAAATAATTTTTTTATGCTTAAAATTGTTATATTCATTAATTGTTATAATCATTTAATGAGTTTTTAATTACAGTTAGGCGAACCAAATAATTTTTCTAAACTTTCTAACCATACGCTATTGTGACCAACGTATTTTAGATACATATACACATTTACTTGTTAGAATATTTACACACCAGTTAGTCTGCTCTGTTACTTGTTTCTACTAGTGCCTTGGGTATTGTTATCTTCTGCAATCAACTAATAATTAATTTGATACTCTGCTCTGTGGTTCGTAATTCAATGCAACGATGTGAATCGCAAAATGTGTCAATACAATCATTCGTTTATATTACATATTGATTGATGGAATTTTTGGTGGAATCCAAGCTAAACCAGAACCAGATAATTGGCTGGATTTAGTTTTAAACAAAAAATTGAATAAAATTAATGTTGAGTTTTAAACTAATGCTGTTTGGGTGGTTCTAAATTAAAACAAGTAAGGAAGGCTTAAGTTCGGGAGTAACCGAACATTTTATACTCTTGCAACTTGCAAGAATCAAAGCCGGGGAAATACTTTCAGGTTTTGCAAAAGATAAAATAAAACATGTTGCAATAGAATTCAACATTCATTATTCGACAAAATACAATAAAATCGTCCTCAAATGTGATATGTGAGACATAAACTCAACCGGATTTAATATGTATATTGACGTGATGTAGAAAACGTCAACCGAAGGATGGGAATTCATTATATTATTGTAAGGATATGAGATTTATACCAAATCCTTAAATATTCAGCGCTAAATCATTAATATAATTTTATAGTTTTTAAGAAAACTTGTTCACTTAATTTCATTACAATATCACACATTTTGACCATCCTAAACGGTTTATAGTCAGCTGGAAAGTTGAAAATCACTATACAGGGTGGCAGGGAAAGGTCTGAGCTAATTGCATTCACCTTTGAAATTGTTAAGGTATACTCGAGAATACATTTCCAAGCAATTTTATAAGTAAATAACTCACACACTGATCGATATATTCGGTAAAAGGTTTGTAAAAGTAACAAAAATCATTTTATGTACATATGTAGATAGGAGTAGTATCCATTTTTGGCATTACTACATATTGCTATCGGAAAAAATACTATATGAGTTTCAATTAAGTATGGAGGTATACCAGTATGTAAGGTACCTATACCATCACCAACATAAAAGGAGTAAATTCAGCCTGAAGTTCGAAAATCCTAATATTAATTATAATAGTCCCCTTAAGTTAAGGGCAAGTTTTCATCCGATTTAACCCATTTTACTCTTTTCAATCCTTATTTAGAGCGGTTTTTGGAAGAGTTCACATTTATTTATAACAACATGTATTTAAAAACTTTTTAGAAAATTTTCAAAATCTGAAAAAGTATATATTTTGTATGATTTCTAACATATCAGGTATCTTTAAGGAACTTTGTGAGAAGAAAAATATTTTCTCTTATCTTAGAGCTCATTTTGAGATTATTAGCTCTGAAGTGAATATAAAAAACGTATCGGAAGATGTTTTAACATATGCCAACTAAAGTGAAATTGATGTAGAACTTTTAATAATGCTTTTCAGTTATTTTTTGCAGATATTATAATTAAAAATAATTAAAAATTTTTATATTTCTAAATTAAAATATTTTATGTTCATACTTACATATATTGCACATATCTATATATGAATCCATATGTATATAGATATAATTGCACTTACTTCTAACATATGATTATACTCCAAGGTCTACTAGTGTGCTTGTATGTATGTATGTATTGCAATATGTTAGGTTGTCCGTTATTTCTCAAGTTGGTGTTGGTTTTGCAAACGTCCCCAAAACGTTCAGTTTTTTCTTTAAAAATATATATTTAGCGAAGACAAGCTCTTTATTTTCAATTTAAATAAAATCATATTACTTTTCCCATGTACAAGTATATAACATGTGATTTTTTGATATTTTGCATTAAAAGAGTAAACTTAAAATCTAGAAAAAATTATACTACTACTTAAATTTTCCGCTCTACAAAAAAGTTTTGAATAATTTTTTTCATAAAACTATTCTTTTAAAAGTTATACGCAGTTGCAATTATACCGCAACCGTACTGAGTATTCATACAAGTGATTTATACATTATGTGTTGCTAAAACGGCATGGTGTACTATATGAATACAGTACATTTGATGCATAACTTTAACTGTGTATAATTTTTCACGTAATGTTTGTATGAAAAAACTTAATGAGATTTTAGAATAATATTTTTTCAAAGTTGTAGATTTCTTTTATAGCAAAGGATCATATAAAATATATGGGAAAAGACAAGTGACTTAGGCACGATTTAAATTAAAAAGAACGAGCTTGTTTACATTGGATCTTTGTTTAGAGAATAAACTGAAATTTCAGAGGACGTTTGCAAAAAAACACAACTTGGATAATAATGTCATATATACATATGTGTATATTTATTTAGAGACTAGACGTCTACTTTTTGTACAGTTGTTAATTTCACTTGATATTGATATAAGTACTTAGATATTTCGTAGAATTTGTAACACAGCCATATATAATTATTTCTGTCTGCGCTAATAACTGTATCTCCGCTTGTGTGTGCTGAACACCTAGCAACCAAATCAAAAATAATATATTAGCTGTAATACATATTTACACATAAATATATACA